AAGAATGCAAGCAGTCACAAATTTAGGAATGAAATCACCATACATCGGTGCTCCATGAATAAGCAAACAACCACATCAATTCCAAACAACAAATCATACTGCAACGACGAGGCAATCTTGAGAAAGGGCAGTAGCGATTATATTGGAAAAACATCGAACGCACTAGACACGCACAACGATACAGCTTCTAGACAACCAATCAGGAGGCAAATATTCCGAGCAATCAGGTAGAATCCGGTTCATGCAATCGGATTGAGGGAGGACTGCACAGCTAACGAAAAGAACTTCGTCACTGATGTGATAAACGAATGTTTCAAGGTGTAAACGATATTTGTCATATGTAATTTCCTGCTCCCCTGAACAGCAATCACAGTAAACACAAATGAATTTTGCTTAACCAGACTTCAATATATTGCGATTCGGAGCCCGGTTTGAATGTACGTTGTACAGCGTTTACACCCATTATCAATTGAGCTTACTAAATATGCGTATGTATGCACAATATCGTAACTGGTAGCCGACTCGTTTGTACTAATGTTTGCTGGAAGAGAACCCTCGACCAAATTTTCTGTTCAATATGTCGCATCAGGCTTTACATATTTACAGTGAACATAGTACAGATGTACGATTGGCCGACTAAAGCGCAGTTAGTCACGGTGAGAGAGACTAGAAAACGGAGCAAACTAACCTGACAAGACTAGTGATTGTTGTGGTGTGGTTGGGAAAAAAAAAGTCAAATGGATAACGTTGGGGAGAGATGGACAGATTAAAACGAAGGTGTGGGGTGAAGTTACGTAAGATTTAGGAAAGACAACAGGTGTTGATGAAACTCGTGCAACATCACTCTCATTTTAAAAATACATGCCAGTTCCCAATATCATACTTGTATATTGAGGGCTATGGGTGAAGTATTTTTATTACTGATATTATCGCCCACCTCGAAGTTCTTAGTTCTCTTCTATCCCTGTTTGAATTAGCGTGACCTTGTGCGTTGCGATAAAATTTGTAGTAGCTTGTAGGTCACAGCTCAGATTTGGAAAATATTTTTGCAGGGAAGCATGATAATTCATTCTTTCTAATAACTGATTCCTGTTCCAGGACAGTGTTTATTAACTTGAGCCAATATATTCTAAATTGCTTATCTCGTTTTATCTAAGGTACAGTAAAGAAGTAAATTATTAAAAATATTCTAACCTAAATCAATTGATAAATTGTTTGGCTACCAACTACTCACGCATCATCCACAATGCTGGTGTAACTAAAAACATAGTCCGAGAAACACAGGTTGACCTTCGAAAGTTGACCTTGAGGTGTGCGGCTCGTCGAATAAGCGTTTTCTTGTGCCACCATATCCAAACCGGTTGAGAAATTCGAACGATTTTGACATATAAGTGAAGCCTAGAGGCAACTAAATCGCGAGGCAAATAAAGCCCATGAATCACTTGGTGTCTTGTGGAAGTGCTTTACTATGAAAATACGTCCAATTCGTAACACATTCAACAAAATTCCTCCATAGAGATATAAACATAGAGAGTGAAAACCGATCATGTCAAAGCAAGACGATGGTTGTATTTGATCGCAGCAGACAAGAGTTGCACAAAACCAATCTAGAGCATATTCCAGGTTGATTAGCCGTTTTTTCCTCGCGCCTTTGTTTGGAAAATGATTGCTTAATTTTAGATGCAGCTGAGGCCACGTGATATGAAGCCGTTACTGAACACCCAAAACAGCAGAGCACGTATTGATTTTACCAACATTCAACTAGCTTGGTCCGTCCATTTGGCAGTGGATTCATCTCACAGATGAGCAACGGGTAATTCCACGTNTGCGATGAAAGGTGATGTTCTGAGCTATTTTCTAATGATTTTCGTTTTACTTGTCAAAAGAATTAAATATCCATCCCGCCTGACGAGCTAGGACGGAAATAAATACTGAGTGTTCTGTTGTTGGTCTCCTGTACACACCTAGCTGGATATTGGAAAATATTCCGCACTGGTAAGGGAGGTGTTCGGTAACTTCTACTCTTTGAATGTATTTATGGAGGTCATATTCTTCACAGATGAAGGTTGGTATATCTTCCCGTCTGAGGTTTGAAGTAGAAAACCGTTAGACCTAATTACATATCATTTTTTTCACATTTATACGTTCTCTGTAGGGGTGAAATTCAATGGTAAACTCGTTCAAATATCGCACAGCAGCTGGGTTTTTAATTTTATCCAAAAGTTTTCACTGTATCGGAAACGGGGATAAGTCATCTGCCTCGACATAGGTCGTCGATGGTTAGGGTGCGAGGTGTATTAGAGGAAACTGGCGAATTCTGAATGGCAGTCAACTTGGTGAACTCCATGTCAAAGCCACGGCCTCCAGTGCTCAAAAATGAAGAAGGGAAAACGGGGCATGTAAGAGATAAAAGCACAACACCTTTACGAAGTCTATGAGTCATTTTAATACGTAACTTATAGTAACATTTTCTACAGTGTTTTTTTCAAAACTGATGCATCAGCAACCATCGTCAAAATCGCGAAATCGTACATTTTAATGGCATGTGGCTAATAGAAACAAAGACATAAGAGTGTATCATATCAAATATGTTGCGTCTGATATGAGGCAATATCATATTAAACGCGTGAATCAGTCTGGCGAAACGAAGCATTGAGAGGAACAAATGTAATGAAAATCAAGATGCTTCACGAGTTAGATCAATAGTTGTATATGTCATTCATAGCAAGTAGTGTAATTAGGAATGGAAACTTGAGACAAAAAACAAATAATTAGTTCTAAATAATGTGGTTAATGATAGTGAATGAGGAAAGGGGGTGGCGGAGGAGGGTTGATGCTTTGTTTTATGCACAATCAATCCGCTGTCCCGGCCAGGTAAACAACTTTTTCGGGATCAGTGTTTTACTTACATAACTCTGGATTCAAAATGCGAATCGCAATCGCTTTCGGCGTGGTTAAAAGCCGCCTTCATATGCCATTGTAATATCTAGGGGGAATAGTGTGAATACCTTTGAATGAATTCAATGTGTTTACAAACCTCCCACTGTCGACTATATGACCGACAACCGAGCTGCAAATACACCTAACCGTTCCTGCGTAGAGGGCCCAATGACAGGGCTCAGCAATACATTTTGATAATCGCCCGGTCGGATGTTGAATATATTGCTCATTACAAGTGCACGTGAAAGATATAAAATGTAGGCTGAAGAGACTGAAGAGACAAATTACGTTTCATTTGCTGGGACACCAAGGGCCGAGTGTTAGTGAGGATATGCGGTTGAGCTGTAGGGAAGTTTGTATAGATCACTTTGGACAAATGTCTTTTGATACTGGTGGTAAAAACTATTTTGACAAATAAACATATAGAGGCCAAAAAGATTTATTCCAAAAAGAGATATTTTATTGTATCAACCGGATAAAGGGACCGGCTTGGTGTCACTCGATAAAACTGATTACCACCCTACACTAGAGAATATCCTAAGCGACTTCAGAAAATTCTCAACTGAACTACATGAGGATGGCATGACAGAGCAAGTGGAATCTATGTTAACGTCTACCTTGTCAGAACCAAAGATAGAGGTTCACATATCACAAACGATTTCGAAAGACATGTTCCGACTGGATCCTGACCGCCGCGGGTCTATTATTATCTAAGGTAACCTAAAAGAAACCCTTGAAAAATGGAATGGGCTAATCGACACTTGATACTCTAAACAAATAAAGGCACTTTGGATTGACAAACCGATCGACCACCTTGCTCATGAAAAAAGTTTCAGCATGAGCTGATTCTTTGTGTGCCTACAATAGCCTAATTAGTAAATTAGTTGAGGCAGAGGTTCTCTTGAATAGCACTCATTACTGTGAATCAAACGCAATGGCCTACATATTTCTTGCGTTCGAGGTCACATATAATGTATAATTATTGGTTGAACAAATACTGCTTCTGTTGCATACTTTGTAGCTTAGCTTTACTTTCCGTATTCCGTGAGCATTCTATCAGAGTCCTCTCAATTTGGAAAAAGCTTTCAATCTCCTTTTTCTGGCCGTCAAACAACAGTCGGTGAAGGATTGATATTATTTACTCGAATCTGTTTCCTTGTTCAACTCATATAAAAATTTGTTCCTCCTACCGCTTGTTGTCGAAGACCTCTTAAGTTTTAGGTATATATGCCTAGTGGACCTAAAGAATGTGCCCGTCATAAAAATATTAGACTATTTACTTAATTTACCATCGGTAATATCGATGGCTTTTACTCCATATTCAACATGATGGTTTATTTGGACCGCGGTAATCCTGCGATGATTTGATCCAGTGTGCCCTTCGTCGGAATGACGTGTTTTTAAATGTTCCGTCGATTACGCAAGATGTATTTGAATAGCCCCAATCGTGTAGTTTGTTTTCTTGCTTGTGCTATCGGTTGAGCTGAGTCCTGTTCGTGTGGAATGATAACTCACAACAAACATGTATAATATATGAGTATTATAATTTACTGGCCTACGTTTAGGTTAAACGATTTTCAATTTATTGGTTCAATGTTTGAACACCGTGTGATTCTTCTCTGGATCTGAAAAGAAAAAAATACAAATAGGATCCTTTTAGCTATCCACATACATCTTTTGTTTGTAATACGTACAAGTAATTCCCGTACGACAAACCAAACAAATAAAATGAGCACTTTGTTAAAATTTGCAACCCACCATAACTCGCCGTTGAGGAGATGTAAAAGTAGTCCTGGGATTACTACCCACGAAGGGTTGAACTTCGAAACTCCATCTGAAAACGAGTACAACAAGGGTGAATTGATGAAAGACTCCTACTGGCCTGATGATTCTCGAAAGGATGGAAAATACATCATTCAGACATTTGAGTGACAAATATCTTGTTGCTGTTTAACACTCACCCAACATGTAATATACAATCACGTCGTCAGAACCAGTGCTGTTTGGTGCTTCTCTCGCTTGCCTCGTTAGGGAACTAGAAGCAGGAATAGGAATTTGCTTTATTGACCTTTCCACTGATACCGCTTTTCTTCCTCCGATTTGCCTTTTAATTTTTTCTCTTCATTCTGAGGATCTGATACCTTATCGTTCGACGATTCTTTATCTTTATCTTTTTTACCCGCTTCATTTTCTCCTCCACCTCCTGATGAATTTGAGGTTTGTGTAGTTGTAGGTGTTACTGTGGTTGTAGCAGCGGCTGTAGTAGTAGTAGTCGTGACGGAGTCCGCACTCACATCAATCGCCGAGGTGGATGTGAATACAGTCGTTGCACCTTTTGGACACAGAGTTTCTGATCTATCTCCACTAGTCGCCTTCACACAATTGGTTCCACTCGTCTCCTGGAAGTGAATCAACATGTTTGCAATGAAACGATCAATGTTCCAATCTTCAGTGTTCCAACTCTACTGGAAAACGTTCTTGTTCACTTACGTTGACGTAGACCTTTACCGCTTTACCGGAATCCGATTTGACACGGTACTGGCAGCCCGTGCCACTCCCTTTTACA